TGTTTCTTTCTTCTTTCTCTCTGTAACATGAGGGACATGAATTACCATATATTGCAGAATTGAATCGCAGCACTTGCTGTATCACAACATTGTAAAAATTGCAATGATATTGAATTGTGGTCCAAATATTGCAACACTTTCAAACCGTCGCAATTTCTAGCCCTAGTGTGATCCTGGTCCTGGTCTTAAGAATTCACAATTTACGTAACTGTCTCACATGGTGCTGGATTGTAAACCATTAGTTTGTTTTAGAGTTTTTCCTTGCCGATGCAGGAGAGTCTGTTGGACAATTAGTGTCTAACTAGAAGGACTGTGGTGATGATCCAGGACACTTTAACATTCTACAGCATGTATGACATTTATCAACATTGTTTACATTTTGTGTCTTAACTTCTGATTCTCTGATCTGTGTTGGTGATTTCAATGGTTTTGTTAAGTCCCCTGAGATGACTGCTGTTGTGATTTAGGGCTATACAAGAATAAATTGTATTGTATTGTATTGTATTGTATTTTAAAGGCAGAAACAGCTGTGTTTGGGACAGTTTTAACATCTAACAAGGTTTAAAAAATCTACATTTAGCATCATATGTGCTCTTTATTGATCATGAATGGGTTAAAATGACTATCTGGTCTCACTCTCAAGCCTCTCTACTCTCTCTCCCTGGTGTATCCCTCTGATCCCTCTCTCTGGTCTCTCCAGTCTCTCGCTGGTCTGTCGCTGGTCTCTCGCTGGTCTTTCTGGGCTCTCTCCGGTCTCTCTCTGACCTCTCTCTGGTTTCTAAATGGTCTCTCTCTGGGCTCTCTCCGGTCTCTCTCTGGTCTCTCTCTGATCTCTATGGTCTTCCTCTGATCTCTCTCTGGTCTCTCTATGGTCTTCCTCTGGCCTTCTTGTGGTCTTTCTCTGGTCTCTCTATGGTCTTCCTCTGGCCTTCTTGTGGTCTTTCTCTGGTCTCTCTATGGTCTTCCTCTGGTCTCTCGCACACATACAAATGCATAAACCGGTCTGTTGTTTGTCTACAATGAGCCTTGCATTCGACTTGCGTCATTTCCAAAACATTTACTATTTATTTACAAGTCAAATCGAACCAATGAAGTTCTTCTGTTTTGCATTTTCCAGGTTTTACATGTCTGACAATTTATTGCTATTAGAAAATATGTTGTCTGGCTCTTCTGAGTAAGAAAGAGCCCTGTGAGTCACTATTTGATGCTTTGGGCAGAGGTGTGATAGAGGCAAAACATACGCATGACAACCAGTTATGGTCTCTCCCTCTGGTTTGTCCCGTGTCTCTCTCTCTGATCCCTCTCTCGTATGTCTCTGGTCTCTCTCTCTTGCCTCTCTCTCTGGTCCTTTCTTTTTAACTTTTCCGTCTGAAAAAGCTCTAAAGCTTATCTAAAGCTGTAAAAAAGTAGTGATTGTAACAACTGTTATAGAGCCAGGAACTCAACACATGGATTCTATTTTCAGGTTAAAATGTTGTGGTTTAAACGTTAGGTACCCCAGCTTTAAGTGAAGTCCAAACAATTATGGTCTGCTCCCATAAAAAGGCAGATTGTTTTTGGTTGTTATTAGAAGGAGAAAGATCTACACATAGTAGTGCTGTCAACCTTAACTCACACCAAAGTCCATATGTGACATGTTCTTTGTGCACCAAGGAGCACTCTGAGGAGCACAGGGACTCGCCTCCTGCTGGGACTCTGAAGAGCACCAGAGAGAGAGAAACCAGAGAGAGAAAGAGAGACCAGAGAATTCCAATACAATTCACTGCTGTGATCCTGGTGTTTATATTGTGATATTGTCTTAATGTAAACCCGGATTGACCAATATAGACACAATCCTTTTTCAGTCAAAACAGGTTTAGATTTCTACAAATTGGTTTTGTCTTCATAGATAGATAGATAGATACTTCATTGATCCCTGTAGGAGAAATTCAGGTGTCCAGTAGCAGCAAAAATGAAAATAAAATTGATCATTCTAAAAACATAATAATAGTAATAATCAGCAACAGCCCTTTAGGTCACAGCAGCACAGGTGGAGTAGCTGTTGGGTGGAGAAGGACAGGTCGCAGCAGCCCATATTGAGTAGCCTCTGGGTGGAGCAGGACAGGTCAAATGATGGAGTACCCGCTTGATTTGGACCCTTTTCTCTGCTCTAGTCCAAAGTAAAAATCTAAATGCTTCATTAGCAATTTTCAAAAAGTTAGCCTTCCTCCAGTGGATTTTCACCTGATCCGCTTGGTTTGGACCATGAATCCTCTCTGCTCCGGTCTGGACCAGTGCAAAACCATGAACACTGTACTGCAGCAACATCTCGGGTAGAAAAAAGTAATACAAATAAAAATTAAGCACAAAACAACAACTGTTTTAGAGCTACTTGGGACTTGCAGCCGTTTCCAGGCGCATCGTTAAAAAAAAATTAAACAAAACCTGGCTGTGTTTTTACCAGACTTACTCAACACTCTGTAAACAGGTTACATGTCAGATCTTTTCTTCTTTTTTTAATTCTATTTATACAGTGGGCCATAAAAGTATTTAGTCAGCCACCAATTGTGCAAGTTCTCCCAATTAAAAAGATGAGGGAGGCTTGTCATTTTCAGAGACAAAATGAGGAAAAAATCCAGAAAATCACATCTCTGTCTGCTCTCTCTCTCTCTCTGGTCTCTGTCTGCTCTCTCTCTCTCACTGGTCTCTCACTCTGCCGTCACTCTATGGTCTCTCTCTCTCTGCTCTTTTCTTTCTTCAGTCTCTCCTCTCACTCATTGTTAATGTTTGTGTGATGCCATTTCTTGTTAAATAACACATCCACATCTGACTCTGAGCAGAAATCTCTATCCTCAATCAATATTGAAAACCTATTCAATATGAATAGGTTTTTCAAAAGTTAGGCACCTGAGTTTTACCTCTGACATCTCTCCTCTCCAATGTTGGTTAAAAGGTAAGTACCTGAGCTAGGGGTGGGCGATATATATCGTAGACGATAATATAGCGAAAGTGAATATCGTGAATATAAAAAATATATATATAATTTTTGTATTTATTTTTTTACATATCTCCAATACATCTTTCACTTAGAGCAGGCAAGATGCCCATTCGTCAAATGCGTGCCTAAAGTCCAATCACTGCTGTGTTTTTACTGAAAGCCTATGCGACAAACACTCATCTTTACGTCTGCACCTGAACACATCACCGTGAATATTGCGCGTTCACAACACAGACCGCGTGGTGCCATAGATGCTGCTTTGACATGCAGGGACACCGCGAAACGGAGGAAAACACTTTGTACATTATCTGTGCGTTTTTATGACCCAAGAAGGAAGTTCCTGTAGTTCTTGTGATCTTTAGAAGAGCCTGGGAAGAAAGATTTACGTTGTGTAGCTGCAAAAGAGAGTTTTCCCGATCTGTGTTTGTCTGCAGTATATGTAAATGGGTGACCGTTTAAGCGGTGGTTGACCGTCACAGCGTTAACAGGTCAAAGCTGTCGGTTAAAAAAAAGAAAATGGGGAGAAGGAGGTCTCTAATAACGCTATTTTAAGCCCTATTCGCAAGGTGTGGCGAGCGGGTCTGTCTCTAGCTGTGCGCCAATGTATCAGTAAACTCCAGGCTGACTCTCATGCCGCACGCGCCATGCACGCACACACACATACACGCACACGCACACACTTCCCCCCCTCCATTGATACGTAACATCCACACGCATCATCTCTCCCCTCTTTCTGCCAAAGTTGCACACCAGCGCGGGTTAGAACTACATTGGAGCTTACATTTACACACACATGCATACATTTACACACACATACATACATTTACACACACATACATACATTTACACACACATACATACATTTACACACACATGCATACATTTACACACACATACCGGTCTGTCGCGCTCCTCTGTCTCACACAGCCCAAAGTATCCAAATACGCGGCTCCAGTCAAAACACATGGACCATGTTTGTGCTGCTGGTCCTTGTCATTAGATCAGCTCCACACACATCACTTTTAAACTTTAGCGGAGACCTGCAGACGCGGCTCGTCACTCGCTGCTCTGACCATGTGGACGAGCCGTTGTTTGCTGCTAAAAAGTGTTAACCCGCAGCACAGAAGTATGAAAGAGCTGCACTTATGAGAAGTACGCGGCTCGAAATGGCTGTTATTTCAAAGAACGTGGGATATTTTTAACTACGCGGTTAACCGGTTTCAACCGGTTAATGAGGCTCGGTGGTCGGTCATAAAAATTCATAGTTTTTTACATCCCTAGTCTGGTGCTAATTAAGCTAACAATGCTATCTTAAGCTAATTATGCTATTATTATTTGTCATATTTACTTCCCTGCACCTTTGTAATGTTTGTTTCCATTTGAGCTACCTCTGTGGTTTACATCACTTCTTTATTTATTTTATGTCAACTTTATATAGACCTTAAAGGGGACTTTTATGTTATTAATTTCATGACTTATTTTAGTTCCTACTAGCCCAGACACATACGCTATTGATTTTTTAATGTGTTATTTGCTATAGAATAATTATTAATACTGTTTTTCTTTGTCTATTTCTGTTTTCTTAGCCGCAAACAATTGCACACTCAACAACAATACAATGTACAAACTGTGATCACCTGCCAAACCTGCCATAAAGCTGGTTATAGATTCTCTACCGGAGTCTGTTGATAGTGTCCCCAACCATAAAAGAACCTCTCCATTCTTGAGTGTTCTTTCCGTGTAACTTGAATTTGGTTTTTAATGTTAAAGTTTGTTTGTGCATGTTTTGCAAAGATGTGTGAAGCACTTTACAAATAATATGCTGCTATTTTGATCTACACTGTCTCCATCTATAGATGCCCTGGTAAGAAAAATATTGCAGATCATTTTGTGTAAAAACGATTGATTGTAAAGATATCGTGACAATATCGTTATTGTGAGTTGGGGAAAAAATATCGATATTTATTTTTTCCCATATCGCCCACCCCTAAGCCTGAGCTTTCTCTTTATCTCTCTCCCTCAGGTGCGTGTCACTGCCCTCCCCCTCCTCCTCTCTGGATGCTCAGGCCCCCTCTCCCTCGGGGCCCTGGACCCGGACTGTGACCCCCCCACTCTCCCCGGACCCCCCCCCTCCGGACCGGGCCGAGGTGGGGGGGGGCGTTGCCATGGTGACGTCGAGGGCCACGTCGTCCGGGGGGGCAGTCACTCCGCTGCACTACAAGCCCTTCAGCTCACACGCACACTACCAGCAGGTGAGAGACCAGAGAGAGCGATATCAGAGAGCGACCGGAGGCTAGGGCTCTAGAGCCTCAATGTAGTGTGTTCTCAGTTTAGTTTAGGGTCTGGAACCTCTGTTCCTTTCATTCTTATAAAACTGGATTTTGGCACCAAAGCTGGGGTTCCCAACGTTTTTGTCTAGAAACCCCAGATTATATCTTTTTAATGTGCTGTGACTATTTATGGTTGTACAGTGCAATACACTCACTTTGTCTATTGGAACAACACAAGTATGAGACCATAGATTTATCTTCATGGAAACAAACAAACATTGGTATTGGTTTTGGTCCAAGAACAAACAGTACCATTCTAAACAGATTATCAGCTTACGAAAGTAAACATCATTCTACTGTTGACTCTTGTTCAGTCGCTGAAGGTCGGGCTGTTGTCTCGTCATTTATCTGCACAAATCTAGACCAAATGTACTGAAAAATGTTGTTCACCAAAAGCAAAGGGGACCGTCTCTCTATTCCGTTCAAACTGGAGCCCTCCATGTCTCTGGTTCAGACTAGTCTCACCTGAGAAAATGGGTTTGTTGTGCTCCTGCTTTTGGTTGGAATGAAAACCTGCAGCACAGCCCTTTTGAAGACCAGTTCGACCACCTGCTTCAGTAGAATCTGTAATCCTTAAATCACCTCTTCTTCTTCTCCTCTCAGGTAATGTGTGCCGTGCGTAAGCTCCAGGAGAGCGGCTTCTACTGGGGCGCGGTGAGCGGGCGGGATGCGGGAGCGCTGCTTCGGTCCGAGCCCCCCGGCACCTTCCTGATCCGCGACTCTTCAGACCACCACCACTTCTTTTCGCTGTCGGTGCAGACTTCTCGCGGCATCAAGAACCTGCGCATCCACAGCCAGGACGAGGGCTTCTTCCTGCAGCGCGACCCCCTGAGCGCGCAACACCCCCCGCGCTTCGACTGCGTGCTCAAGCTGGTGGCACACTACATGGGCAAGAGCACAGCGGGGGCTGAGGGTGCGATTCCCGGCAACGGCAGACACGTGTATCTGATCCACAGCGGGGGAGAGAAGGTACCGTTGGAGCTGAGGCGGCCGCTCTGTGCTGCCATGTCGACCCTGCAGCACATGTGCAGGAGAACTTTAAACGAGTCCAGGACCGAAGGCCAGGCGCAGATACCGCACACGCTCAGAGACTTCATGGAGGAGTACGACGCGCCCATTTGACACGTTGGAAAAGTCAATGCGTATAGTACATTTACAGAACTGTGCAGAAGAAGAATTATTTTTCTTTTTCTGAGTCTCTCGCACCAGAAATGATTTAAACTAATGGCGTGGCGTTCTGAAGTCAGCCATGTTTGAAACAATACAACAACACACACATTAACACTAGAACTTCCAGAGCCGTCATTTTGACTGCTCCCTGTCATATCAATGGAATTCTGAAAAGCTAGTGAGTTTAGTTTTATTCAAATGTACTTTTGCTCACTTTTAATAAGAGCAATAACTAATGAATATCACTGATGCTAATGCTAACTGGTAACGCAAACTGGTAGCATGTTAGCAGAATGTTGCTATGGTTGCTCTTCTCTTCTTCTCCACTTAATTTCACAAATAAAAGGCAGAGAAGCAAGAGAGACATAAAGAAACAGAAAATGTTACAAAGTTATGAATATCTAAATGCACATGAGCTAAAACTAAAACCCATCAAATTGACTGCTGTGCGAGTCCGAGTGTTAAAAGCATTGGATCAGATTTGCATAGAAATATATGCTAATTTATATCCATGTGCTTTAAAGTTAAGCACGTTTACAGATATGCGCAGAAACAGGAAAGGCTTTTTAGTATCTCGCACCAGAAATGAGCAAAATTAGTTTGCAAAGAAGGGTCAAGCATTTAGCATAACAACTATTAGCTGGAACAAATCTAGAACTGGAACAAATTTATTCCGTGACAGAAATGACCTAAAGATCCAGTGCTAGGTTTATATTATTATTACAGAATATTATTAATAGTTACGCATAGTAAAGGTTATACATGTTAATATGCATTGTAAAGCACTATATATATGATTTATTTGTTTAATTAAAATAAATAAATGCACATGAATACATTTTGTTTTATGTAGTGCTTTACAAAGTCCTCATTCTGTCTGAATCCTTAAGTTTATTTGTGTGGCGCAGGTGCAGCTCACTATTATTACAATTAGAACTTTCTCCATTCAGAGCTGTCAATGACCTCATGTTTGACGCAGCTGTAAAAATATAAAACTCCACCCAGTGAAAAATGACTCACTTTTGTTTAGTGTTAAAGTCTGGATTTGTCAATGGAGAAATCCTCTTCAAGTGGCAAAAGTATCATCAACAATTCAATTCTATAATTCACTATTAATTGTCACTACATTTTTTTATTTGGTCATTTAACCGTAAAAACTCATTGAAAAACTGCACCTTCGAAAATGAATTTAAACCTTAATTTAATGTCCAGTTGATTTAGATGAAGTTAATGCTTAATGTCCCACACTGGGAACATTTCAGTGTTGCTCTGAAGAGAATAATTGGCTTTCACAATAAGTTATCTGTAAAACCAAAGTCAAATTGACAAATGGCAGTTTCTTTTAAACGCTTATTATTTCTGTTCTTTTTGAAAGCGTAGAGTAGAGTAGAGACACACCTTTGGGAAGGAAAGTCCATTCACTGTAAGAATAAGTTTTTGACAAGTTAAGAATATATTTTAGTAACTGGTGAATAACTTCTCCACGGCACATTGGATCAGATTTGCAAAAAAATAGATTCTAACTTCTGGCCAATATCACCCGTCTCTAAACTAGTATCTGTGACTGTCATTTCTGGTGCGGTTGGTGATTCTCTTCTGTTTTTTAGAATAGACGTTTTTCTGTTCCGCAGCATGTATTTCTGGATACCTCAACCTCCACGACTGCGGCTCCTAGTCCTGGAGAAATAGAATCAAAACCGAACCCTCTGAGGTCAAGATTTGTTGGATTTTAATGTTGTTTTTACTCCGACGCAGAGCTTAGCCTCGCAGAATATTAAAACCATTGGTCAGTTTTAGCAGGAAAAGGCAGGATCGATAGTTTCCATTTAGAGCTACACGCACGTACTTGAACATAGATTTTGAATATAATGAAGTTTTGCATTGAAAATCCTAGAACTATAGCTCAGCCCAAAAAGTCCAATAGTGACTCACAGGGCTTTTTCTTACCCTAAATATAACATTTGTTCTTTACAAAACTCTTTCTGGCTCGACAAACACAATGTAACAATAAGTCTCTCTCTGCTCCCTCTTTCTGGTCACTCTCTAGTCCCTCTCTGGTCACGTGCTGGTCTCTCGCTCTCTCTCTGGTCTCTCTCTGGTCTCCACTCTGTTCATCCTGTCATTGTTACCATCATTTTTTCGATAAACTTTAAACGCTCTAAAATAATTCAACTGAAATAAACCTGGGAGACCCTGTTTAAAACCTCCAAAAACATAATATATGTGCCCTGTATCTCCTCCGAATCTCAGAACAGAGAAGGCATTTTGGCTCCATTGAACGGTTCCAGGACTTTGAGTAATGCTGTATTCCGTGCTCTGCTCAGAAAGGGGCAGGAGGGGGGGAGGAGGGGGAGGTGAGCGGCGAGGAGCGGGAAGCGGCAGCAGAAGGAGGAGGAGACAGACTGGACACGGCCCCAGCATCGATCATGTCCCGCGAGAGAAACGCAAAAACACGGAACCAAACACTAAACTGAAATATAACCATTAGATTAAAGTAAGATCTGCTTTAAAGTCTGAGTTCTGTCTTCGAAGCCAAATACAAGGGACATTTATCAGCAAAGGAAACTACACAGATTTTGAAATGAATTAAGTTTCTTGAAAACTCTAGAGTTTTGAGGCAAGTATAACATCTGAAACAATAGCATAGCAAAGAAGCAAGTATAACATCTGAAGCGTTAGCATAACAAAGAAGCAAGTATAAAATCTCTAACTTTAGCATAAAGTTAGAGAGAAGCAGTGTTTGGTTCTTGTCTCATTTTTTTGCCTCGTCTCCCTGCGTACGAACAACTTACCAAAAGATGCTACATTTACCCAGAAAATTTTACAGTAACTAAAAAAAACAGATTAAAACGTTATGACATAAATCATAATTAGCCAAGTGTATGTTTTGTTTGTCCCAGTAACAGTTATTAGCCAGAATATTCAGTCTTAATTTAACTGGGTGTGATGTTTGGAACAGTGTGGAGTTGTTGTTTTTTTTAGCTTGATTTAAGCTGAATCTGAATCTTAAAGAGGTGAATGAACAATGTGTTGTCTTTCAGGATTCACAGGTTATTTCATATTGATGATTATAACTGTTGTTAAAGTCTCTACACTACCCTACTCTACTGGGCTCTACTCTACTCTTTTTAATTACCCAAACTAATGGATATTATTTCTCCTTTAATATCAGCTCTAAAAGGCAGATCATATGTCTCCTTTAAAATCCTTTATACAGAAATACATTGTTAATTCAAACCCAGAGACACAACAGACACACAAGAGACAGAAACACACAACAATGACACACAACACAGGGAAAAATATCAGACACACATTTCTCTCTTCTTTCCTGGTCTATAGTGGGTGTGTCCTGTTGTCATGGTAACCTGTGAGTGTATTCTAGAGGAAGCTAGCGTTCTCCGTGTGACGTTTGTAAATAAAATGTCTTGAGTTGCAACATTGTTTGGTCAAATTATGAATCTTGTATTTTTCTTTTTTGTTTGACCACGTGTTTGTAACTTGTTTATGTCTTTCATAAAGACGCCGGGGCAAAAGAAAAACAAAACAAAAAACAAAGCTGTAAAATAAAAGTCTCCAATGAAAAAATACCAACGGACACGAACTGAGACGAAGGACGTTGCACATATTTATATTTCTAAAGTATTTCAATAATTTATATTAAAGAGCACTATTTTTACAAAAGTCATTAGGCGTCCAGTGTGGTTTGTTCAAGTCAGAAACTGTGTGTGTGTGTGTCTCTTTTTCTCTTTCTCTGTGTGTGTGTGTGCGTTTTTCCCTCTGTGTGTGTCTCTCTGCATTTGTGTCTGTATGTGTGTGTGTGTGTGGGTTACTATTTAGTCAAAATTACTAGTAATATAAATATACTATTATTAGTAACGTATAGAATGATGTGTGTAGGTGTTTCTACAGGTTCAATAAAGTATATCTTGTTTGGTTAAGCATGTCCAGTTGCTTTGTGTTTCAACTGTGCTATACAAATAAACCTGCCTTTCCTTTTGTTAGATCTTTGTAAATTCACACCCACACATTTTTCACTTTTATTGGCTTTGGCTCCACAAACTATTCATGTTTGTGTTCTGTCTCAGAGTCCATTCAGCTCTGAGGCTACTGTGAAGAGATGGTTCTCTCTGGTCTCTCTCCCTGGTCCCTCTCTGGTCTCTCTCTGGTCTCTCTCTGGTCTCTCTCTGGTCTCTCTCTGGTCTCTCTCTGGTCTCTCTCTAGTGTCTCTCCCTGGTACCTCTCTGGTCTCTTTGAAATCCCTGCAAGTCCCTGTTTGACTCTGGGTTGAGAGCTGATTGGCTGAATGTAGCAAGTAGTAGTAGTAACAGTAGCAGTAGTAGTAGTAGTAGTAGTAGTAGTAGTAACAGTAGCAGTAAGAGTAGTAGTATTGGTGGGGGATATTTTCAGTTTAAGTAAATATTGACGCTGACAAAGTTAGTTTTGGTCATGCACAGATTCACCTTGGACAAACAAGACTCGGACATACAAAACTTCAAAGACTGGTCCTGGGTCCTGGTCCAAAACATAAATGATAAAGAGAAGGAGTTCATTTAAATACAATTTTAATTTCTCAAAGGAAGATATGCCACTACTACTGCTATTTCATCCATCCATCCATTTTCTTCCCCTTAATCCATTTCTGGGTCGGGGGTGGCAGTCAGAGCTGCACATTCACACAGAGCACCAGCCCCTCACTGGTGGTGAGTCCACAGGAACCTTGATCTTTCAGCGGGGGCTTCAGGCAAAGTGGGATTAAGTGTCTTGCCCAAGGACACAACAACAGCAGACATCAATGGGAGTCGTAGGTCTTATGGTGGGCTTGAGCCTACAACCTTCAGGCTCAAAGGCCAATGCTCTACCAACTGAGCCAATGTCGCCCCAGTTGATAATTCTACTGTTACTGTGAATCTTACTACTCCTTCTACTACTCCTTCTGCTACTACTACTAC